AGGGTAGAGGCCTTTGTAGGGGTAGGGGCCTTTGTAGGGGTAGAGGCCTTTGTAGGGGTAGGGGCCTTTGTAAGGGTAGAGGCCTTTGTAGGGGTAGGGGCCTTTGTAAGGGTAGAGGCCTTTGTAGGGGTAGGGGCCTTTGTAAGGGTAGAGGCCTTTGTAGGGGTAGGGGCCTTTGTAAGGGTAGAGGCCTTTGTAGGGGTAGGGGCCTTTGTAAGGGTAGAGGCCTTTGTAGGGGTAGGGGCCTTTGTAGGAGTAGGGGCCTTTGTAGGAGTAGGGGCCTTTGTAAGGGTAGAGGCATTTGTAGGGGTAGGGGCCTTTGTAGGGGTAGGGGCCTTTGTCCCCTCAGTTTGTTCTTCCCTCCTGTTTACTCTGAGTCTCCAGATGCACCGTGGAGTGGCTGTAGGTTCCTGGGGCCTGGCCTCTTGGAAATCCCCCTGTGTTGCAATGTCTGGACCCATTAAACACCCATCCATTGGCTTTGGAGTGGCCACCGAGCAAGTGGACCTGCTGTAGACCATATGCCCTGTGATGGCCCTGCCTCTGTGACCCAGCACCCTTCCCTCTGTGGGAAGCACAGGGCTCTGGGCCCCAGGGCTGACCCGGATGGAGGCACCAGGCAGGCCAGCACCCCATCCTCCAGAAGCCACAAGTTAGTTAGCCCCCAGTGCATCTAGCAGACATCTCTGCTATAGCTCTCCACATGGTTTTCCCAGGACTGCAGGGACCCAGAGTCCCTGGAAACTGCATGTCTCAGGGGAACCGGCCATTGAATTCCTACCTCTGGGTTCTGGGGCTCACAGCTTTGGGGTGAATCCAAAGGGGCTGTACATCAGAATTTCTTGGTGCTTCCAAAACACCAGCTCTCCCACAGGCTGATGTGGACATTGGTGTCTGTCACAGGTAATTCTGGCCATCCCAGGCTGAGATGCTCTGGACAGAGAACTCCCCAAGTCGGAACTAAGGTGTGGTTGGGTTTGTTTTGTTTTTTGTTTTGTGGGTGAAGGGGAATGGGTGTGAGCCAGGTGGAACATTTGGTGTTCTATACCCTGCCCCACCAGGCCCTCTTCGAGAGCAATAAGTGTCCTTAACCACTGAGCCATCCCTCCAGTGCTCTTTGGTTTTTATTTTACCTTTTACATTTATTTACTGTCTGTGACCACGTGCGTGTGCACATGTGCTCACATATGTGCCATGGTACACATGCCAAGATTGGAAGACAACTTGCAGGAGTCAGTTTTCTCCTACACTGAGTTCCAGGGACCAAACTCATATGATCAGGATTGGCTAGCAAGTGCCCTTACCCACTCACCATGCAAACCATGCTAGCCTCCAGCTCACAAGATCCACGGGCCTCTGCCTCCCAATTAAAGCTGTGTGCCACCATGCCTGATTAGCCCTGCTTTCCCCCTTTAAACTAGGTATTGTAAGAACCTTTTAAGATTTAGTTTTTTAAGTGTGTGTGTGTGTGTGTGTGTGTGTGTGTGTGTACGCACACACTTGAGTGTGGGTGCCCTCAGAGGCCAGAAGTATCAGATTCTCCTGGAGCTGAGTTACAGGCTGTTCTGAGCCAACCAACATGGGTGCTGGGAGTTGAACTCAGGTAAGGGCAAGGCCGTACTCTCAGCCACTAAACCACCCCAGCTCCCAACCCTGCACTCTATCTTTGGTCTTTTTGTCTCTAAACCTGTCCCTCGGGCGTGGTCCACTCTGTGGTCCACGTACCTCCACTCCCAGCACAGTTTGTGTAAGCGTTTCAAGGGCAGATGGGATGGGATGGCCAGGGAGGATCTGGCACTGGGGAGTCACAGAATACTGTGTGTTACAGCTCAGATGGAAAGGTATTCTGGCACTTGGGAGCCAAAGAATACCACAGGTCACAGTAAGCATAGCAGCTTACAGTCCTGCACCAGGGAAAGGCTTCCCCAGTGTAACAGCTCTGCTCCAGCAGGGGAGGGTCTCCCCTGCGAGGTTGTTACAGTTTGCTCCTCTCTGCTCTGCTGGGCTCTGCTGAAAAGTTTTTACTTCTCTCCTCCACTCCATTCTGGCAAAGGAAGGTCTCACCCAAACCTCATTCAAGACATTTATTGGGAGGGGAAAATCCAGGAGAGTGGCTACTTCTTCCAGGGTGGAAGAAGGCAGGGGGACAGCCTAACAGCCACAAGCTGAACAGACACAGGGTTTATATGGGGCTTCTTAGGGGAGGAGTTTTTCCAGGGAGATTTCTAGGGTGGGGATTGATTAGATTTCAATCTCTGAGCTCAGATTGACTGGATCTGGTGCTCAGGGATTGGTTGGTTGTTGGGGGCCATGGCAAAAGTAACCTTGGACCTGTAAGAGACTTGGGCAGAAGCTGCCAGTATAAGCACACTATAATCAAAAGAATAGCTGCCTTTAATCCTTTCCTCCCTGATACATAATGTCTGGGCTCATGAAGTAGCTTATAGAAGGAAAGATACATTTCATGGTCAGGTTACCTAGCAACCCTTCCCCCTTCTAACTGTCTCAGCCTTAGTCCATGAGGTTCTACCTGAGTGGGGGGTGTGGACGGCGATAAAGACCAAACACAGGCATCTTGTCATCTTTAGAGAGCTCTCAGTTCCATGTTGTGGAACTAGAGTCATTTCTTTATTAGCCATCTTTTCTGGTGTCTCTTAACCATGCTGCTAATACTATAAGGCAACCATTTCTCTCTTTGTTTCCTCGCTGCTCTGGCAGGGAGCCTCTTAACTCCCAACTTTCTGTCCTCCCAAGTTACTCATACCTCTCTCTCCTCCGCCCAGGTGAGGGCCTATTCAAGGCTTAAACTACAGAGATGCAAATTAGGAGGCATATTACCCTCAGGCTATGGTAAACAGTAGTAGCCTAGTGGCAATTAATGCAATAGTGGTGAAACCAAAGGCCGGAACTCAAAATATTCCATAGCTGAAAGATTTTGGTCCCCCACATCTAACCCATTATCTAACACCAGCACCCTGAGACCTTGGTAACCTCCTGCACTCTCAAGGACTCACGCACAGGGACATTCCTCAGCCCGGTTATCAGGCAGCCAGCCTCAAACACCCTCTCCCTTCCTGCCAAGCTCCCCGCTTGGCACCCCTATATCAGGTCCCTGTGAAAAATAAAAATTTGTAGCTTGATTAGAAACCTGTCTTACTGTCGTTCTTTGTTCCCCCTGACCCTACCGTTCTAGGTTCTTTGGTGACTGCAGCACATGGGGGGGGGGGTGGTGAGCTCGCGTGATTCCCCACGGGTCAGGGCAGTTGGTTTTCTGCTCAGGTTCAGGGCTCTGGTTTCTTTCACTGGTCCCTTTTAGGCTTTGGGCTCTAATTTTAGGGCGTGTGTGTTTCTTTCACTGGCTCTGATTCCAGGGACAAAATGAGTTTCTTTGGCACTGTTTTCAGGGTCAGTGTGCATTTCTTTGGTTCTGGTTGCAGGGCTAAAGTGTGTTTCTTTGGCTGGCCCTTTTCCCCTGCAGTAGGTTTGTGCATGAGGAACACAGCCTGCTTCCCCAGGTCCAGGCAAGGATTGCGCAGCCCTCAACCATACCCATAGACACAGTCTGTTCCCCCTGAGCCTCTGCTCCAGGCCCACTGCATCACCCCCCCCCAATCCCCAGGGTGCCTGCCTGGCCAGCCTGAACATGAATTTGGTAAAACATAGCTGTAGCCTAGGTGACTGAACATTATTGTTTTATCTGCTTAGCCATAGGGCACTTGGGTGCCTGCCATACCAACAGAGCAGCAAGTAAGCTTGGGGCTGCTAGCCTTGTCTGCAGCCAACCCCAGAAGCAACCTCTGTCATGTGTTTTCTGGAAACCGAAACTAGACAAGGTTTATAAAGCATTTCCTGGGACGAGGCTGAGGAAAACCACATGGTGGTGCCTGTCTCCGCGAACAGTCTACAAAGAGCTTCTGATTGCAGCCAGCAGGGAGGCTCCGGGACCATCTTCAGCCCCTCACAGACAGGTAGTTCCTGTCTCTGGCTTCCAGGTGAGTCCCCACTCTACACAGCACGGATCACTGGCAGGCCGCTGAGCACGGGAGCCATGGTGCTCCTCCTAGATGTGTGAGAACTCTATGCAGTTGGGTGGGTGTTTGCTGAAGGGAGAAGTGTGTCAGAATCGAGCCCTTGGCCCTCTCCTGGGTCTGTGTGCTCTTGCCCAGGCCTGTGCCTACCTACACAGAGGTACCGAATGGGCCAGCAGAGGCAGACTTGTCCCAACTTCCCACACAAAGGAGTCACACAGAAACATCCTCTGCCATCCAGAGGACAACCACATCCATGTACCTGCAATGTTCCCAAGGCCTAGAGCTCTTGACCCGGCACGGACAAACCTATGGCCACAGCCTGTAGTCAGTGCAGAGGATGGGCACCTGGGGCAGTTTTCCTTGGAACTCAGGTTTCCCAGAACACAGGGTTCCCTGGGATTAAGCTGGGGTGATGTCTCAGCACACAGATGCTCCTTCTGCCTCTGCCAGGGTCTGCATGGTACAAGATGGCTCCCCCTGGGCAGACCCCAACTTGGGGCTCACTAGCTGTGTGACCTGGAGACAGCTGACCCTCTAGCTTCAGAGTGTCTTGGGATGTGGAAACTCGCCTGGGGTCTTGTTTACTCTATGGCTGGCTTTAGAAGGCTGCAGAGGGGGACCTGCTGAGTGTGGTGGGGAGGGTGCCCAGCAACGAGCTTCCCACCCCGGCGTGTTACAGGACTCGATGGTCAGAGTCTGTGCCCAGACAGCTCCCCCGATACCAGGCTCAGCCGCGCATCCTCTGTGGTACAGTTAAAGATACAATAGTGAGAAACATAAACAGGAGCTTTACCTGATGGGACCACGTGGAGAAGATGAGCACAGATCCAGCCTCCCCCTTGAGTCCATTAGGGGGTACTAACATGAGGTCTAGATTTAAACAGAGGGCTAGAGGTGTGGAAAACTCAGCTAGCCTGGTCATTGCCTGGGCTGTCAGTCTCTTTCCTGGAGACAAGCTCCCCCTAGTGAAGCTGTCACCACAATTCAGCTTTCTCCTCTCAGCATGAGACTCCTGGGGGAATTCCAGCTCCTTGGGGTGCCTTGTTTCAGTAGTCAAAGGGAGGGGCACAAGTCTCTCTTTGAACATCATCACCCCTGCCAGGATGGCTACAAGTGGGCTGGGACCCTGAGGTCCTTCATACTGGTCTAGTGTAGAAGTCTGGGACAGGGGTGGCAGAAGGGTATGGGGGGTGAGGGGCAACCCTGTATTTCTACTGCTCCTGGGCTATCTCTGGTGCACATCCCCGGGCCCCTGGTCTGAGTAACAAAGAAACAACTTGAGGTTACCAGCTGTTGCCCAGTAGATAGTGCTCCTAATAGCACCACCCGCTAGCCAGAGCCAAGCTCTCCTGTCTGCTGGGAGTGGAGTGGGTGTCACCAGGCCTCCTGCACTGTGGTCGTCCACATCCTTGCAGGGATGAGGGCCAGTGCCTGGGTGAGGGGCACAGCCTAAAGATAGGCAAGAGCTTAGGCCATAGCCTAAGGACTGAGTCCCTCTCTGCCCACCTGCTTAGAGCTGGCAGCATATTAGGAGTTGACCCTGACACACCTGCCACCCACCCCTTCACACCTCCCACCCACCCCTTCACACCTCCC